TGAGATGCTAAATCCGCTCGACAAAGCAAGCGAACATGGAACATTTCGTTCAAAGATTGTCCTTGCCGACGTATATCGCGATCCTTTCTGTTACCCCTCGGGCATCTCCATTAAGATCATCCATCTCCGGATTCTCTTCACAGCTTGTCTGCTGCATTACCCAGTGTGGGACAATGCAGCGATGTGACCCAATCCCCCCCCATATCTTCACGAACGCAAACACACATATTTTACATTACTCAGTGTTCCACCTTCGATGACGCGAAGATAAGTAGCAGTAGCACGATTTGGGCGGCGCACCCATGGAGAAAAATAAAGAGAGATTAGCGATAGAAAATGGCAGAGAGAGAGAAGAGAGAGAGAGAGACCGTGGGTGGGCTCGGATGGCTGTTAGGGAAACCCGCGTGGCTGATATCCTGATGACGATGTCGACAAATAGGTATGGCAAGCAGAATCAAGTAGCCCGCCCAACAAAACTTGATATACGAAACATGGCAAAACTGCTGTCGTCGCAAAATTTACGAAGGACTTACAAAGATCCCCTAAGTCTCTGCTGAGCTATTAGGGCCAACACAAATTTCTTTTTTAGGTAATATCGGTCATATTGGCTACTGAAGAACCATACCTTCGTTGTGAGTATGCGTAAACGAATTTTCGAGCATAAGGAGTACTGGACAAGGAGAGACACTTTTGGTGCTTCTAATGATGTGTACCCTGTCTTCGTCCCTGCGTATATATTAGCAGTTTATCTATACCAAAATTTAGTTGCGAAAGGGCGGTTTAGGTAAATACCACCTAGCTAAACCATAGGTAACATCACATGCCGTTCCGCATTTCCGACTGGGTGCATATCATTTCTTCCAATCCTTTTGCTCTGAGCGATTCTAGCTAATCGTTCAGCAGAGTCTTTCAACAGAGATATTCTTGTCGAATGCGTTCCATCACCAGTTGCCGGCACTGCGGAATGGGTATTGGGTTGGAAGAAGCGTGTTTTGTCTCAACCGTTATAGTCGAACTTACTCTCCCGAAGTCCTTTCCGCCCCTACGACTATGTCCGGAAGCACACACCGACAAGTTCTATTTTTGTCTGCAGGCCGGGAACCCAAGAAGGACGAGTTAAGCGTACCCACTTCTAACAATTTCATGCTCATTAAACTTCTTAATTAAACATCTGCCCGCTTTGCCCACCGACTGCACTGAAACGCAGCAGCTTCGTCATGCGGCCCGCTTCCTACCGCTATTCGGGCCGATCGAGGCGAGAGAAGCTCAAGGGTTCGGTGGCAGCAGTGCCAATGCTAGATCTAACGCTTTTTACTGTAAGCGGTAAAGACGGGATAGAGGCGAGCAGATAGCGAAAGGACAGCGATAGAGAGAAGGTAGCTGACGCTTGACTCAGCTTGTAGGAGCAGCCGATTGCAACGGCCTGAACCATTGGTGCTGGGTGGACCTTAAATGCCTCCTAGGGGTCAGCCACCCGCATTGCGATCAACACCATTGTCATCGCCCCCGTGGGCATCCTATATTTAGTTGTTCCTTAGGACGGTTCTCCTGCGCCCGCTCGTTGACGAAGTCAAGAAGAGAATAACCCACCGAGAAGAAGCAATCTTCGGTTAACTTGACTTCTTCTCCCTGCCGTCAGTGACTCTATCGAAGACAAGCCACGTGCGGGGCTCGTCGGAAACTGGTAGTAGATCGAGATAGCAAAGGAAATCTGGGTGGGAGTGAAGTAGCTTCTGTTTATGACTGCTGTTACCGCCGCCGCCGCAAGAGTAACCTAGGACTGTCGACAACGAAGTCTATGAGAGTGAATACGTGGCCTGGATGACCAAAGAACTACTTGACTTAGCGAAGTAGTGCAGACGCTGCGAACGGGAAGGGAAGCGTAACGGGAGCACGAAGCATCACACGAAGGGTTAACTCTTTGACACCGCCTCCATCGTCGACGGATCCTCAAGTGTCCTGTCTTGCCGCGTTTTCGCGTTTTCCCGTAGGATCCCTGGTCCGTCGCTTCCCTGTTTCTACGACACTTCCCTGACAGTCAACTTTAATATGAACGCTGGCTCTCCGTTTCCAGCGTTTCTTCTATCCTTCATCCTCTTGCTATTTCACCAAGCGAATAGCTGCGCAGACCATAGTAATAGTAAGAGCCTAATATAGTAGGAATGGAGAAGTATGTCAGGATCTGTCAGCCACTGTCCAGGACAAGCTCCGACAAAAGATCCAAGACTGTCGTTCGAAGTGCAGTGGCACTAGTTTCCCTGACGTGAAGGCACGATCGGTGAAGTCTAAGTTTCCGCCTTGTCTTGCTTCTATGTTATCCTTCTTCTTTCGCCCTCTCTTATGCGTCTCTCTTCGCTCGCGTCCTCCATTTCCTCTGAGGCGACGCGAGGGGTGCAGGAGGCTTGCCGGGTGGTCCCAAGGGTTATTATTTTCTTTGTCGTCATTATTCTTTCTTAAGATGGGAGGGGAACGTGGATCGAAATAGGGTATAACTCGCGAAAGGGGGGGGATCTGAGATGTTGTCGTGATGGGAAAGAAGGGCGAAACAGGAATAAGCGTCTCTGGCGATTGAATCATAGGCGCCGGTCTTCTCTAACCCAGTAGCTTCTTGCTCATCCAGAGTTATCCCACAGACTATCTCGGCAGGAAAGAGAGAAGCCATGGATGCCTGCACTGTTTCCAGCTATTTTTTCCCGTAGTCTGCTTTCTTAGTCGTTAGCATGGCTGACTGCCATCCAGTTCCGCTGCTCCGGGACTACCTCTGGCCGAGCGTCTGCAGGGGGCCTACTGCTGCCTGGTGGCAGGCGTCGCTACGTCTTCAAAAAAACGCACTTTCCTCTGTATTACCATCATCATTAGCTATTATCAATGAGTCCCATGGAAGTCTACCTTTATCTGAGAGAGGTGCGTGCTGCGTGTCTGTGTGCGATGACTATGTGCTAGTTTGTTAGTCCGCATCCGCTACATTGGTCCAGATGAACTGTTTTAAATACCGCTGCGGATCTAGCTCCAAATTTCTTTGCCTCCTTCTTCGCAGTCTTCTCCATCTTAATTTGCCTATGTATGAGCCAGCCACCCAACACTAGCAGACGGGAATATAGCAGCAGCAGTGTATTACCAAGCATACGCCCAGAGTTGGTCGCAGCTGCAACGACAGTACGCTTGAGATACCCATCACGCACCAGCCGTTCGTAGCGTGAAGCACTGACGACGCGCCTAGACATCGCTGCCAGATGAGATCAAGTTTTCCTTTGCAAGTTAGCCCCCTGTTCGCGCAAACCTTGCCACTGCTGCTGCGGCCTGAACTGGGCAGGCAAGCGGGCAGGCTACTGACCAGGAGCCGTGCCAGACCCATTGAGAGAATATTCTGAACTCACATCATGCGACTGACGCGTCTCGCCGTTTTATCTTTTTTTTGACGTTCTCGTTGACTTTCGATAACCGAAGGTCGCCATTGCTGCGCGGCGGACGCGTTATTTCGGCAAATTTGTCAGTGGTAGAATTTGATATCGTTGTCCTGTTTAAAAATTCTGAATTTGTAATCACGCTTTCATTGTCGCGGTAATCGCTACTGCATTTGACTGTATGCGAATGCGTCATGTGGCACAGGAAGATTGCCAAACACGTAATTCTCTCTACGTTAGCTTTACCGACTAGCAATCTTTTACACACTGCAGTGAAATTCTACCATAGAAGTGCTTTAAGAATTGTACCTCAACGCAGCGCATGGTTTACGGCTGCAGTAGATATGGTTTGTGTCAAAATATATTTTTGCGTTGAGTTTGGTTATTTCCTTACCATTTCATTGAAAAATCTAGGTATGTAAAGTACGAATTTCGATTCTTTCTTTAGATAATCGAGTGAAACATTTTATACGAGTCCTTGCCTACACTTAGTCGTATTGTAAAGCAGTACGTTCGAGTTAATTAATACGCATGAGTGGCAATAGATAAAGTACCATCAAACTTTAGGGTCATTTTTCCTGAATGGAAAACAATGCAGTTTACTTTATTCTGCTTAACATCGTATTATTTCTGCCGGCTTCGTGTTTTTTACGCTCATCTTCCGTTAGACGGGTGTCTTGACGACGTTTATTTACCTCGGCAGCGACCTAAATGGCACGCCAAGAAAAAACAGTCAGATTTACCTCAATCCATAGGGTATTCGTTTATTACTGCTGCCACAAGGTGATCACCGGGCACTGCTGAAGGCGAATTTGCGTTTTAAATTGATCTTCGGTCTGCGCTCTTTAACGCTGCAGCCGTTCGTACTCGTGGCTTATTTTTTTCGTCTCTCCTCTATCTGTCTACCGCAACGTGAAAGAACCGAGCACGCTACATTTCGAAACGCTATAACAGAGACGGCTGCGATAGTGACGGAACAGAGTGGCGAATCTCTGCAATCGCATGACTGGTGCGGCTAAACAGAGAGCAGCTCTTCTTGTCGGATAAGCAAACAAGGACAGGTGAAAGCCGAAGTGACCAAACAGGCAATACTAAGTGCTCACAGTCGTCCACAAAAAAAAAACAGGCAAAATATAAAAAGAGATGGAGTAGAAACACAGCGAGAGAATGACTATCGACGAAAAAAAAGGGAGTGACAGTACAGGGAAGCTTCTTCTACTCAGCCAAAAAAGTCAGCCCTTTCCGGCCTGATTTTCTTATATTGTCCTAGCCAAGCCTCCATTTCCAATTTATCCTTCTCCGATTCCGCAATCTTTGCCAAAGAAAATCCGACTGGTGGATTCAGAAGATAGGGATGGAGAAGGCTTGACATGTGACGCTAAGATGGTCGTGGGTCTGCGGGCAAATTGAGCTCGCCCCTTATTCTGCCCCTCGATGGGTTTACGCATTCTCGTTCAGGGCAAAAATGAAGGCAGGATACCGCTAGTTGTTCTTTATGCCCATGTCTTTGCTACACAAAATTCATTCAAAGAGAAGAACCGAGGAAGGTACACGCGTAAGATCACATCGACAGAGACCTTCACCTAAAAGACTTACCTGTACGTTGATCAAGGAGCCCAGAGAACAGCAAAAAAACGGCAGACAGGAACTGGCGTTCGTCTTTATCTACTCATCGTAAAAGAAAGAACGAAAGAAACATGAAAGAGCCAAAATCGGACAAACGTTGCTGCTCTAGTGGAGGCTCTGTCCAGCGTCCCTATTTCGTGACCGCCAGTGAAGAGTACAACCAGAAAGAGGCTGCATACGCCAGAGTCACTTTGTCGTTCTGTGTCGTCCTGGTACACAACGAAAGCGAGCAGTGCTTAGAGATGCTGAAATGTGCTGAGATGGCCCACAACGCCCACGGACGCATCTGAAAAGCCGAGATCGAGGCAGCGATCAGGAGAGGAACGATGTTCATTTTTAACACCGTGTCGCTGTTACAGCGTTAAAAAGGAGAGAAGGAACTCGTGGGATCACTATAGCCAGTATTAGCGGATGCTGTCAGTGGTGGCACAAAGGAAATATAAAGCTGAAAGAGCACAACCTTTCGTTCAGGCGGCGGTGGTGGTGGTGGTATTCAACATACTAACAGTAACAGGCAACAGTAGTAAGATTAATACGGATCAAGCTAATCAGAGTTAAATATGAAAGAAATAGTTGAAGCTCAGGAAGCTTCATTACGGTCCTGTCTATAATAATCTATTAGACACAAGTCAATGGGAATCGCGGCATATATATTCTTGCAAAATACGTAATAGAATATTGAGGTAGTTTATTTATTATAGACATTCGGCTTTCGCAGCAATGTACCGCTAATTGCGACTGTCTAGAAGCCTAAGTCTACTACATTCTGTATTATTTTGCCTTAACTCAAAAACCGCATATATCTATTAAGGTATTATATTTTTATATAGCATTATATTATACTATTATATTTGTACGTACGTCTGAGCATTTTATCGTTTATCGTGCGCTGGTATGGAAAGTTTATTTCCCCAGCACGTCACTTTTCCCCCTCAAACCGAATCTTAAAGACTTCCTTAATATATATCGACTTAATGTATGATATTGTACAATGCGTGTCCCGACTACCTGAGCTTAGTTGGACACCGTTGTTCACTGATCAGTAGGGGGTGGAGCAGACACGCCATAGATGAGGATAATTAACAACAAAACCAACCGTTCTCTCTTAGTCTAAGCCTAAACAGCACACGCAGGACTATTTTGTGTTCCCAGTTTATGTGGGCGCCATGTACGATTTGCGACATGGCTGAGTTTATCGCTGAATTATTATTAATAGTCCGAGCTAATTGCAGCCCCGAAGGGCCGCCAATCTCCTTTGAACGCGGCATATGGAACCGGTAGTATAAGCTAAATCCTCTGATGCGGATTACTTCACACGCAGTGATAACATTGTCTATTGTTAATTTGGTCGGATATTGCTCTATAGGTATTATTTATATTACCGATGGCACTGTATTGTATATTGCTTTTTTCTTTGGTCCTAAGACAAGACGATGCTTGTTTCAGTAATTATTAAACGCATCGTCGACCACTTGGTCTAGTTGATGGCAATTTTGCTAGTGTTGCAGTGTACCAGTGCCCCTCAGCGGCCGTCACTTTGGCTACCAACATAAGCGTCAAACAATTGCCAAGTCTAAAATATTACAATGGATCATTGCTGTGACTATGCCTAGGTGTCCGAACGCCCGCTTGGAAACAAAATGTACAATATAACGCTAACCGTGTTAGGTTAGAAATAAAGCTATTTCTACTAGCGATATACGAAACGTTTAGCGTTGCTTAGCTGGAATCACGCCTCGGGCACCTCAGTAGCACCAACGTATAGCACTGGTAATAGTTGCATTGCTACCTGTTGGTACCTGGTGAAACGCAAATTACCCCCAAAAACTTCATTGTAGGAGATGGAGCAAGATGAAGCAGAAGAGACGAAATCGAATGAAACTTCGTTTTCTATCGTGACCTGCTGTCACGCTGCTTCTTAAGCAATCGAGCTAGGCGAGACGTTTTCTCTTCGGCGTCACGTGGTCGTCATCTGTTCTTCAGCTATCGACAATGTTACGACTACCACCAGCATGGTCATGACCAGCAAATGAACTTTGATCTACCGCTGCGGCCATTCTCAGTTGTCATTGATATTATGACAACGCATGGATCATCGCTTACGGGCTGTCGTGCTTGCAACTGGCACAGGCGACAAAACTGAAAATGCGTCAATCAACAGCCACAGGGAAAAGGCACACGCACAGACACATACACACAGGTACCTATACATATTCACACCAGCAAAGGAAGTAATGTTACTAAAAATGTGCAGAATGTAGGTGATTTACATGTGTGCCACATCTCTGGTAGAAGCCAGGGAAAAAGTACTTGGTAGATTTTTGCTGCCGAATTTTCGGACGGTAATGCAGCTAACTAGGACACACTGGCGTTGTGTATTCCTTTTTTTTTCGTTTTTTTTTTTTTTTTTGAATGTGCCAGTATTCAGCTTTAACCAAGGCGTTTTGTTTCCAATTTTAACTCGATTTGATAAGTGGTTTTATTATGCTGAGAGCTGCTCTGGGTGTAACGATTTGCAATCTCTGATCTCCGACAAAACGTAAATATAGTACATCTGCAAATGGAGACCTCTAGTTTTTCCCACAGTAACTCAGTTCTGCTTAAGGTTATTATTCCTGCTAGACATTGGCCTGCCAACTCTCCAGCTACGTAATGCGTACAAATCGTAAGTATAATTGATGCTGAACGTCAGGTTTGATTTTTATAATACATAACCCGAAAGCTCAGGAGACCCGATGAAAATGGGAACAGTTGCATCTGTCAACAACAATAATAACCATAACTGGCTCTCAATACGTACATGATCTATGCGGTTGGTACGTTACACTTGCAAGCTGAGGTTAATTATACAGCAAGCATGATGTGCTACAGTCAGACATAAAATAAAAGATGCCGTAAATCACTTTCATCATGGCTGAGAGATAGTCTTTCGAATTACTGCCGTTATTTCTAATTATGCTAACAATTGTTGATGATGATAACGTATACACATCAACGGTTAAAGTTGCGACAGACCCCAAAACCCAATTCGCGATATTCAACGACGTGGCTCTGTAACCCGTAAGAAAGTTGGTCCATATAATTTACTCAGAACGAACATTTATAGGGGTATGGTATTTGTAATTAATTTTCATTAGCTTTTACTCAATTTTTGTTTGGACCACTTATTACCTCCAGGCCATCCGTGCTTTTTCGCACTCTCGCATCGTTTCACAAGCAACATCAACCCACGCATTTGTCATTTCTGTATAATACATTTTAATATGCGGATGGTACGCTGTTTACTTACAATAGGGTTTTTCAAATTTGTTCTGTAGTAACGTCACGAACTTGTGGAGCAGCTCAATCGAGCGTATAACTCACGGATGCTATTTGTGACTTGGAAAATATACACACGCACCGTTATAGAATTAGAATACAGTAATTCTAAATTCAGGGTATCAGGGGTTAGATTCACAAAGAGATATTTGTTAAATGAACAATTCTAATACACGCCCCAGGTACCGTTGTAATCTTAGACAATATTGATTAATCGCCCCCATCGCTTTGCCCTAGACGTACGGCTTTCTCTCATTTGAAGGGAAACTATCGCATGGACTAATCGATTAACGTAAAACCTTGCTCTAGCATTGCTCCGATGTCCCACTATCCACATTCAATTTCGGCGGCTTTTTAAAGAGTTTCATCGTCTTACGGTTTCTCACACCGTTGTATATTCACACAATCGTAGTTACCTTTTTTCTTTGTCCTTTTCCAGTGTTTTGTTATGTCTATCATCGCCAACTACGATTGAATTGACGATTCGATGAATATGCCATCTTTATGCTTTCCCTTTCTTTTGCTCTCCTCGAGGTCACCGCCGCGACCAGCATCATCGCGCGGCAGTCGCCATCATTAGTGCTGCCACTGTGGGGTGTCGATTCATCGTGAACAGATGACCGTTCACTGTTACACGTCATCCATAACCTCTACTCTTCACTATTGATCTTCCCCCGTTTTCGGCGGCCCCCACTGGTTCACGCCAGTTTTCGGTCCGAATCGGCAGTCGCGGAAACAAGTTCGCTGCAAATCGCGTGCTCGTTATCTCTTCCTCTTCAATTTCGCTACTAGTAACAGGCAGGCTCAATTACGTGCGACACAGACTGACACTGACTCCCTCACCGTTACATTTCCCCTACTATCGCTGCCTCGGCTGCTGGTCGGTCGTATTGGTTCCATCCATAAAAGGCAGCCACTTGCATCCTACACCCCTCAGCAGCGAGACGCGAATAGGAAAGATGAGGCAGAGAAAAAGTGAAACTGACCTCTCAACGTCGACTGCCCCTCTGTGCGACGTAGGCGGCGTCTTTCTCGGCACGTTTCTCCGTTAGTTGCTTGCTTCTCGTTGACCCCTGTAGAAGCGGTACGGTTTGCGACGAACGTGCCTGCAGCCTCGTGAATATTTTACTTTTTTTCATCCTTTTAGCTCTGTTTCAATGAAAAAAAAAAGTCGCAAAAGTAGACCATTCCGGTAGGGTGAAGCAGAGTAGAAGAGAAAGGGTTGACGAAGACAGGTTGGGGACTGTCGGGATCCCATCTCGTCCGATTTCGTCTCTTCTATCCTATTCAATGATGCTTCAAGACAACCGGACAGTGAAACCCCGTAGCTCGCAAGGCTGTTCACCATGTCGCGGACTATTCTACAGTTCCTGACGAAACTCCTGCTGGTATCAGCGCCCCCTTGCCCTTCCTGAGAAATGTTTCTTGAACACCTTCACTGAGTCGGCGCCGTCCGGCCCATAGTTTGTCCCCGTTTCCCTCAAATGTCTCGCGTTCAGTTTGCATGTTGTTTGCTGGCCAGAAAAATAAGTTTCAGCAGCAAGTAGGAGATCGAATAGGACGAAGAGGAGGAAAAAGCGAGAGGCATAGTTGGCCTTTTTGTTTGGAAAAGATAGGCACGTATATGGTGGTGGGTGGACGGACACCCGACATCTTCCGACGAACGCCATCGCATTGCCTAACTCGCTGGCTCATCGGGAACCTATGAGTCAATAAGTTATTTTATCGACCAGAGGAAACGCACGATGGCGTCCACCGTTTTCTGCGCGTGAGTCTCCGTTCGACACAACGCACTCAACATCGTTGAATTTAAATGTCAGCGTCTGTTAACTTGATATGTGTACTTCTCTTGGGGGAATGTCACGGATATATTATATACAGTTAGCTAAACCTAAACATCCTGTGCGCTAGTTATAGTAATGGTGGGTCGAGCATGCTCTATACAAACTCATCTACGCGCTTTGAATTCATGTCTTTTTTTTTTAATCTGAACTCAATCTCACCATCACAGGTACTAGTTCGAGTTTAAGTCCGTAGCCGTTATGGTCACGCAATTGTGGAACTATGGCAGTCCCATTGCCAGCGGCGCTGTTACGGAAAATAGGCAGGCTATTTGTCCTACCCAACCCAATCTCTAGAATTCGGACATATTTCGCGATCCTGCCCTTAGAACGATCCTGATGCCGCTGGCAAGTGCCTATGCCTGAGGCGATCTAAGGAAAAGTACACAATCGGATTACACTTTCAGATTGGACCTAGTAAGCCGAGCTTTGACTTTAGTGCAGTGTTGCAACTGCTGAAGTATATCAAGAGCATAGATTAGATCGGTTTCGGTTTCTATTTCTTGATGAAATCAGCCCTTTTATGCGAGTTGATTTATTGACAGAGCATCATTTCTAACTTTTGAGTTTGACATGGACCTGTGTGAATTACACATACGTCTTTGATTTGTGGTAAAATTACGACGAATTAGACAAGCACTCTCAACTAATGTTACCATCAATGAGTACCTGTGAGGTACGATGGCACAATGGTGTACATCTAGATCTCTTCCGTCACCGGTCGGGCATAAAATCCTCTTGCTGGAAACAGATAATTTAGCTTTGTGTCATAAAGAAATCTACTATGGAAGAATAAAATAAGCAGTATAGAAATATAATTTCGTATAACTATCCTATTTTGTAAGTAATAGAAGATCTGTACCAGCGAATTGTCAGTGCTTAATCGTCCTTGTTGCAAACAAGGTAAAAAGGATATTGCATCGAATTCCGTCTCGATTTGGTAGTTATAGCTGGTGGTGCTGCTGGTGGCGTCTTGTTATACCGTATTGAAGTTACACGTCACTTATGCCGCCGACGTATTTAGCGTCTCATGGACAAAGTGAATCCAAAAACAATGGGAAATCTGTTTAGTGTGTGTACACTAGGCAACTTATTGCGTTCTACAGGTCTGAAACGTAAAGCTTTATAGTTGTTTTTTCTCTGGTTAGTTGTCTTTTCCTTCTCTAAGCTTCCATTTGCTTAAAGGTCTCTTCATTTACAAGCAAAAAGGCACTAGTACTTCAAAAGCAACTCGTACAAACAATCACTTGCTGATCGATAAATAAACAGGTAACCCATTTGCTGTTAAATAAATAAAAGTTTACAAAAAGCAATTGCTTGATGATTAACAAAAATGACCAGAAACTGCGCGTGGGCACGCAACATAGACAGGATAGGGCAACGGCGTTTCTCGTTCAGGATTTGATTAGCTTTTTTACGATAATCAATGTTTCAATTATAAAATACTAGTTAATAAAGTTATCCACCATTTTTGTTGTGTATGTAAAAAAGACAGCTCACCACAACAGGAAAACATCGAATGAACCGATTATAACGCACAGTCGTCGATTGGCGATTCTTATAACTATAATTTTGAATAAGCAGTAGCAAAAAAAATTCTATATATATATAAGCCATTAGCCAGAATGGCTCTAGCTTTCATGATGATAAGAGAAGTAGTGATTTATATTATTCAAAATTGTGATCTTTTCCTTGTATCTTTTCGCAGCTCTCGCTTGCCATTCGCCCGTTTATGGTCTGAAAGCAGTGGCACTCATTAAGTCAAATTATGTTACAACAAGTTGCGTTTATAGGCTGGCGCTGACTCCCTTACAACTATATTGGGGATAGCAGAGAAGATGGCTCCTTCGCTGGTCGGTCGCCGGTGGGGAATGGACAAGATTACGAAATGCCTGATTCTACTAGCAGAGGCAGCCCACCGCCTTCGTCTCCGCAACAAATGATACTGCATTTTCAGAATGATCGAAATAATGAACAGCAGTAGGGACAGTGCGTCTATAAGAACTGAACGCAATGCACCGCAATCTACGGTAGGTGAACAGGATGATGATTTCCTCTTCCACCCCGTTCATCCAACTCTCCCCTTATTACCGTCACAAAGGACCAGTGAACTGGACCCTTGCAACAGGGACGCCCTAAACCCTTACAGCAGAACCTGCAGTATCGGCCGTGTATAGTGGCGCCTCTGGCACAATCGTTTCGCGACGGAACAGTAGGCTATGACGTTGACGACGAAAAGAAAAGCGAGATAAAGACGCAAAAGCAGTGGCTCATCGTTCCCCTTGGGCTTGTTGTCAATACCTGTCCGGCGGCGCTGTTTTGGCTTGAGCCCCCGTGCCCTCTCCCGATGCCCCCTGCTCCATCGTTCTTCGTCTGCTCGTTCTGCTGCTGACGACACCAGCTTCTTGGTCTTTCGTTGTTACTACGCGCCTGTTCGTGGTAACTTGAAAGGCCAACGTGACTATCATCGTCGATGGATGACGATGGCATTGAAAGGTCAAAAGGCGCGACAGCGTCATTGCTGCTGCTAGTAAGCGTTCGGTTCGATACCTTCTTTTTTTTTTACAGCTGACTGCAATTTCAGCGGCTGGTGCCGTCTTTTTAGTTCCGCCGATCGTTTAGTCAATCGCTGGCTGATCCTGCGTTGCTGTCCGGAAAGCTTTTCCTAGGGCAGCGGCCTCGGCTCTATTCGGCTACGTATAACGGCGGTGGTCGATTATGCTAACGTTAATTGATGCGTTTGACACTTACAAGTCTTACACGTGTAGAAGCACAAACAAGCACAGATTCAAGAACACGAGTTTACCCGGCACTTACAACCATCGATCCCAGCGCTAAGGGTGATAATGGTAACTAACCAGACTTGCAAGTGCACGGCGTTGGGGGGAGGGGGTGAAGGTAGCATATGACATGAACGCGGTGCTGGCTGCTGCTATCATCGCTACTACGTTAACTGCTATTGGAAATGCACACTCATTGAGTAAAAGCGTGATAGCATTTCGTCAGGGTTTCTTTTTTGTATTTTTACGAGCGTTAACATTTGACACTATGATGTACATATGCTTGCTTTAATGACGACTGAGTGCACGGACCGCCTGGACACCTAAATTTTGGATTCCTGACTAAATCGTGAACGTTAACGCTGAACGTGGGACAACTGACACAATGAATGAAAGACACAATTCATATGGTACCGCTTAGACATAATTATATCAGTACTATCTCTTAGCTGTAGGGCCAGGAGCACGTAACAATGCCGACCAAGAGCAGCACTCAACAACAGCAGAAAAAATGCCTGCAGAAAACATAAGGGGGAATTTTATGGGGTTCAAAGGATAGGGGCATTATTAAACCATCTTTGCCGTGCTTATGTGTAGCTTCGACATGAAGAGGATCTGGCATTTCGCGTGTACATGTAGCTGTGTGACAATGCACACCATACATTGGTTATCAGACTGAACCTAAAAAGGCAAGCATTGTAATGTACGGTACAAAGCACGAGATTTAAGAGCTACAGTCAGAGACCAACGTCCTATTAAACCAGAAGGTAGCTTATTATTTAAAATAAGTGCATCGGATTTAACTATATAAATATGACGCTTTGCAAACCCGAGCGCAGATACTTTTCCTCTGGCGCCAAGAGACAGCCGTTAACAATGGTGCCGAACGTGAAAATTAAGATATCTATGTTAAATCGATCTTCAGAAATCCAAACTTTTTAGTAGGTTTGAAATGCCCTTTTTTTTTAATGCAAGGCCGCACTTTTTTTTGCCTTGCTTTCGACAAGCGCGGCTACGTTGATCGTATTTTGTTAGGCAAACGGTGCACGCAAAGTTATTGACAAACGCTCAGTCTGTTGCTGCTTTGAACGGGAGGCGCGATAATATAACGACCCTTCTTTCGTTCTTTTTTTTCTTCATCCCACTCCGTGCTATGGTTTTTTTCAGTAAATAGTTTCTCGCGTTTGTTCGTTGTGTGTATTATGAAAAGAAGTTGCAAAGATGGACTAGCTATATTTCGTAAGCAGCCTACTAGAAAGGTCAGATAAAAATTAAATGATGCGTGTCTATCGAAAAACTGAAGCTCAACCCTGTGACATAGCTGCCAGGTGTTCTTGTCTCAATCTCTTGAATCAAAGGGCCATGACGTTCAGTTTTGACTCCCTTATATTGCCACTTCTTTTCTACCAGTAGCGCTAACAATGGCTCCTTTCGGGGCTCTTCGATCTTTATCTTCCATACGAGAGAAACCCTCCGATGCCACCACCATCTTAACCTTAATCAACGAAAACAACACTAGCGGTTAATAATACAGTTGAATCCGTGTCCGCATCGCATTGCAGCAGTTACCTCTCTGTCTAGTTCTCTTGCATCGGTCGACTCTACGACCTACTGCTTGGGTACACCCTCATAGGACACTGGCATCCCTTATTTGTCATTACAATTGAAACGTTGAAAATATTTCCATTTATATATATATATATATATTCCCTTCCCTTTGAAAATGTCCTATACTTGACACATGTTACATAAAAAATTGTTTTATTCCGAATAATTTCATATGGGATTCGCGGTAATGACATCAGCGATCCAGAAAATCACGCGGTTACTATACAACACGTATAATACTAGTATAATGATTACGTACAGTATGACGTAAAATCTATCTGTCCTCGAATCAATTATATACGTCGATCAACGTACAGCAGCTGTATTTGATGCAATACTCAAACAGGTCGCTGATTAACGGTGTGTCATAGATGACTTAAGATTGCTCTGGTTCTTATGGTATAATTTGGCAAGTTTACCTTTGCGGATGAGGTTAATCTGTTTTCAGCCGCAGATCTAGGTAAGCGAACTATTTTGGAAGGTTATTAACTAACAGATATCACTTACTTTTCAATGTCTGCATCATTGTTTTTGAAGCAGCCATTATATTGACGATATCTTTAGATAATCGTGGCATTTTTTTTTTCTTTTTCCGTGCCTACTAGAGCTAAACGATGCGTCATAGGGTCTTGAACGGCAACACTACATTTGTACGTGCTGGCCGGCGCTGGCAAAGGCAACGCCGAGCGTCGACTAGTGTCCCTGATCGAAATTCACAGCTGGGATCATTTCGAGCGTTTCTGTCTCTTATTTCTCGCACATACACTTTCTCCTATTATACTTAATCAGGATGCGTAAATGACGGCTTCTCGTGGCGTATAGTAGCATAGTGGTGCTTTAAATACAACTTTCTCTGTCCGCACAACCAGCAGAATCGTTTTAATGGCATAAATAAAAAAAAAATCAGTAATGGAGGCAGATCTGTGGTCATGTAGCAGCAGTCTCAATCCCACAGTAGGGCCTTTTTGATTGGCGCCGGCGTTATCGCTCAAGGCGTATTCACTCTATAAATGTCGGACGAGTCATGGCTCGACCGTTGTCTGCCTGTTGCCGATTTATGTACAATGGCCCTGATAACAAGCCGAACCCACGGATATATCTGGGTTTACTCGTTGTCTCCTTCACTAGGAGTCGCTTAACATCACATGATACTAAACCGTGAAAGAATTACCCATACAGATCCAGGCAAAATAAGAACGAATAAACAAAATACTTTCCGAAATATATCGTACTTATCCGGGCCTATAAAATGGGCGTCTATGGTTTTGGCAAACAAATATTTACTGCTCCTGTCCTATAACAATTAGAAATTCGCTAGAAAAAAAGTTCGAGATTGGCTGAAGCGCGATTCATTCAACTTCCTTATATAACTCCTGCAATATAACTTACTGAAGGAACAAACTTCTTGGAATACATAAGTATTTGAACTGGATTGAGGTGGACGAGAGCTTTGTCAGCTATGTTTTTAGAGCTCACAACTCCTTATTCTCTA